CGATGTTCACCCACAGCAGATCATCATTTACTATGTAATACAAACTAAGTAATACAATTTACAGCTAATTAATCTGCACTGAAATGACATGGATTTGTATACATCTACCATATCAGGTATTCTTTCAGTTTGCTAAATTTGGTAAGCCATATTTCTGCTCTTGCTTTGTTGATCATTGGTCAATATCCCCAAATGTTTATATTGAATACGCTTATAGGGATCTTCAATTTTGCTGAAAATGAATGACAGTGTCATTGACCAGGCTGATTTATTTTGAGGGAGGGGGGCTCAATTTTTTGCCAAACAGTCAAGACCAGGTCAAATAAGGTGCCTATGCAAGTGGTTTTGTTAGGTGATCACTGGGTCTAGTACCCTTCGAAAAATAGCCACAATTCTTTACAACACTATCTTCAAAATTGCTTATTCACCCCCAAATCAGTGAGGAATGCCAATTACAGGATACATTTTTGTATTTTTCAAAGATCATAAAGGAGCTGAACTTAATGCAAAGTAAAAACAGATTAAAACAAAGCTACTGTCAGAGATGCATAGATCAAAACTAATACCAAAACCAGGTACAGCAGTAACAGAGAACTCGTGAGAGAACCTCAATACATTTATTTTACTCAAAATCAAAAGAAAAACAAGCAGCCTGTCGGCTGAGATAGCTCTGCTGTTAGCAATGCACATTTCAATTAAAGAACAGAAGACATTAGAAAATGAACAATATGTATAGTATCAAAGCAATCGGACTTGCAGTTTTTAACAAGAAGTCGAAAATATCACTTTCTACCAAAAATGACAAAAATATTCACCAAAATTAGAGAATTGAAGATATCATCAGGAAATGAACAAATCTGAGAAAGGTCTACATGTAGTATCTATATATGTAATATCAATGCAATTGAACTCTTGGTTTTTAACAAGAAGTCGAAAATATCACTTTTTACCAAAAATTACAAAAATATTCACCAAAATTAGAGAATTGAAGATATCATCAAGAAATGAACAAATCTGAGAGAGGTCCACATGTAGTACCTATATATGTAGTATCAAAGCAATTGGACTTGCGATTTTTAACAAGAAGTCAAAAATATCACTTTTTACCAAAAATGACAAAAATATTCACCAAAATTAGAGAATTAAAGATATCATTACAAAATGAACAAATCTGAGAGAGGTCCACATGTAGTACCTATATATGTAATATCAAA